CTCCTGCCCTCCCGCCCTCCCGCCCTCCCGCCCACCTGAAAATCTCAGTGGAGTTGAGATGTGTACCTCTAGGTTGGCTCAAACCTTACACAATCCATCTGAATCCCACACTTCATTGTAAGCTTTCGGGTGTGGACTAAGTGGTAGGAAACGGAGGTTATCAGCCCATGGCAGGAGGCCTGAGTTTCCATCCTTCTAAGGACATCCTTCTAAGGACGCAGGGCCTCCTGTCCTGTGCACATGGCAGAGCTTGTCATCAGTGCAAACTCTGATGAGAAGCAGTGACAGACTATGGAGCAGGGCGAGACAGCGGGTATGTTCTGTCACAACGTTCTTAAAACACACGTGCACACAATTAAAATGGAAGTGGAGCAGATAAGCAGACGTGAGCATCCCTTCTGCACAGTAACATCATTAAATGCCTAAAAATACTGCCTGTGTTAACTGCTTGAGCCCAGAGGCAGGGAAGAGCCCTGTGGGAGCTACTGCAGGTGACACACAGCACTCTTCCCAAAAGGCCTGACCTCTGTGAGGTGGTCTCGCCCACCCTGTATCATATGCAGCAGGAGACCCATCCTTCTGCCTGCCACTTATACCCTGACTCATCTCAGGCTCCACACCAGCTCTATCAGGACAAGGCTGTGATATCAGGACAAGGCCTGGAAGTCTGGAGGGTCCCCTCCAGGGCTGGTTGAACAAGAGTCATACCTACTCACACATACCCCTAGTTCCATTTCCAACTTATCCCCAAATACTTCTGCTCTGCACTGCCTTTCTGGGGCCCCAAACACTGCAGAGCCTGGTTGGATAAAAATTATAGCTACTTTGAAAGAGGCAAGATATGTTTTCTAATCAAAGATGACACAAACAAATGGAAAGATATACCATGTCCTCGGACTGGAAAAATAAATATCGTCAAAATTACTATACTACCCAAGGTAATTTACGTGTTCAGTGCAATCCCTATCAAATTACTAATGGCATTTTTCACAGAACTAGGACAAAAAAATCTTAACATTTGTATGGGGGAGACACAAAATAACCAAAGCAGTCTCGAGAAAGAAAAACAAAGTTGGAGGAATCGGGCTCCCTGACTTCATAGTACTGGCACAAAAACAGAAATATAGATCAATGGAACAGGACAGAAAGCCCAGAATAAACCCACACGCCTATGGTCAATTAATCTACGGCAAAGAAGGCAAGACTATACAGTGGAGAAAAGACGGCCTCCTCACTAAGTGGTGCTGGGAACTGGACAGCTACGTGTAAAAACATGAAATTAGAACATTCGTTAGTACCATGCACAAAAATAAAATGGATTAAAGACCTAAATGTAAGACCAGATACCATAAAACTCTTAGAGGAAAACACAGGCAGAACACTCTGTCATAAATCACAGCAAGATCCTTTCTGACCCACCTCCTAGAGTAATGGAAATAAAAACAAAAATAAACAAATGGGACCTAATGAAACTTAAAAGCTTTTGCACAGCAAAAGAAAGCATAAACAAAACGAAAAGACAGCCCACAGAATGGAGAAAATATGCAAAATATGCGACCAACAAGGGATTAATCTTCAAAATTTACAAACAGCTCATGTGGCTCAATATTGAAAAAAACAACCCAATCAAAAAATGGGCAGAAGACCTAAACAGATATTTCTCCAAAGAAGACATACAGATGGCCAAGAGGCACATGAAAAGATTCTCGACATTGCTAATTATCAGAGAAATGCAACTCAAAACTACAATGAGATATTACCTCACACCAGTCAGAATGGCCATCGTCAAGAAGTCTACAAACAATAAATGCTGGAGAGGATGTGGAAGAAAGGGAACCCTCCTACACTGTTGGTGGGAATGTACGTTGGTACAGCCACTATGGAGTACAGTATGGAGGTTCCTTAAGAAACTAAAAATAGAGCTACCATATGACCAAGCAATCCCACTCCTGGGCATATATCCAAAGGAAAACATGGTTCGAAAGGATACATGCACCCCCAATGTTCATTGCAGCACTGTTTACAAGACATGGAAGCAACCTAAATGTCCATATACTCCATAAAGAAGATGTGGAGTATATATATACAATGGCATATTACTCAGCCATTAAAAAGAATGAAATAATGCCATTTGCAGCAACATGGATGGACCTAGAGATTATCATGCTAAGTGAAGTAAGACAGAGAAAGACAAATCATATGAATATCATGCGAATCTAAAAAAAAAAAAGAGAATGAGCTTACGGTTACCAGGAAGGAAGGGTTGGGGGTAGGGATAGGTTGGGAGTTTGGGATTGACATGTACACACTGCTATATTTAAAACACATAACCAACAAAGACCTACTGTATAGCACAGGGAACTATACTTAATATTTTGTAATAATCTATAAGGAGAAAGAATCTGAAAAAAAATAGATGAATATGTATATAAAACTGAATCACTTTGCTGCACACCTGAAACTAACAGAACATTGTAAATCAGCTACACTTCAGTAAAAAAAAAAACAAAAACATTTAAGCCATACAGTTATTTCTTTAATTGAACATCTTAATTAAGAAATATGTATGTGTTCTAGCTTCTTCCTGTGGTACTATAATATAAACAGACTCACAGTCTTTGAGACCCACTTCCACCCCATTTCTGTAAGGAGCCGGGGAACGCAACCTCACTGGTGACGGCGCTGCCCACCCCTGCTCCACCCACCCTCCATACCTGTACTCCGCAACCCCTCCCGCATGTTTCTTCATCGCTGTTTCTGAGCTCATCCCGTAGAACAGCTTGAGCTTCTGTCCATTCCTCTCGATCACCTCTCCAGCACACTCAGTATGGCCCGAAAACATCCCTCCCAGCATGACGAAATCTGCTCCGGCTCCTGCACTCCGAAGTGGGGATGAAAAGCAGCAGCAGAGAAAAGAGCTCAGAGAAAATCGGCTCCGGAAAGATGCAAGTGCTACCAACTCACCCTCCCTCCTCCTGGCTGTGGTCAGAGAAAAGCTCAACCTCCGCACTTTGGAAAAAAGAAGGGCAGATGGGCACTGGATGCTCCAAGCAACAAGTCAGCCTACTGAAGCTTGGGTGGCTAATAACAGTGGACAATCCTTAACGGTTATTGATGACTTCCTATCTATGACCACCTTCCACAGGTCTAACTCTCTGAAAATCAAAGAAACATTAATAATTGGGTGGCACCTCAGCATGTTGTCCAATCTCATATGTAATACAATAACTCCTCTGCCATGTCCCCATCAGGCATCTGGTCTACCTGAAGCTCTCAGCACTCTCACACAGTGTAGATATGAAAGGACCTCAGAACAGACAGAACCTCCTGCACTAGAGCTTGGGCATGAAGGAGAGAAACCTGTAAGTACGTACACATGTATATGTACATCATACACATATACACACACATATGTGTATACATCCTGTAAAACTCTACCCGCACCTCTGTTGTGATAAACATTTGACTTCCAGAGTAAACAATACCTCATATTAAGCACCAAATGACATGAAACTTCCAGGATAGGTACACAGGAGACTGGGGTGTTGAAACTGCCTTCGTAGGTTATGTTGGATCAGGACCACGGAGAGTTGGAACGGGTTGGGGCTCACTCACTGCTGTGTCCTCAGTGTTTATTATATAGTACATGGCACATGGAACATGGGCAGTAACTAGTTGTTAGGAAAGTGAAAGGCATACGTGGAAGAAACAGAAATAGTCACTATTCGCCATCCTCAGCGAGTCCTACTGCGGGGTTTATATTCAGAATAGGAGGACATCAGTGTACAGATGCGTTAAGTAATCACAATGAAGGACAAGGAGAAGCAAACACAGGATCCTCTGAAACGTGACCTTGATTGCTTCCATCTGGTCACTTAAATATTTACAAGAGGACTTTAGGGTGTGCATCAGGCGTTCCAGTCCCTTCCGTCCAGCATTACGGAAGGCAGGGGCTGCAGGGCTGGCCCCTGGGCCTGGCAATCAGGCAACCAAGGCACAGGACCTCTCTACTTGGCAGCAAGCTTTGCAGACTCTTCCCTGCAGGGTCCCTAACACAACTGCTGGCTCCTTGACACCGCCCCCCCCCCCCCCCGCAAT